ACCGATACGTACAATACCCATACTACCCCCAACAAGCATTCCGTGACAACGGATACGGAATTGAAGCTGTAAATGAAACGGTCTATAAAAGGATGGTCGAAGCCATCCCAGAGTGTCTTGAGCGGATCCAAACTTGCCGCGACGCAGCCGAGTTGGGAGACCCTCAGAATCTGGGTATAAACGCTACAGTCAACAGACTTTGTGAAAACCCTGAGACTTTTTGTCGCGCCAACATCGTTTCGCCGTATACCGCCTACTCCGGAAGAGACTACTATGACATCTCCACCTTCACGTAAGTACAACTTGAGTACTGACTATTATTTCACATCAACAGGCGTGGTGTGACCTACTGCTCGTACTTGAACTGGGCTGACGTGGTATTCACGAACATAGACCGGCTCCCTTCCCTCAAGGTTTCCATGAAGGATTCTTGAACCGCGAGTGGGTACAAGCTGAGTTGGGAGTACCGCTCAACTGGACAGGAAGCTCACCGCAAGCTTCCAACGCCTACCGCGCCATCGGCGATTATCCACGCGACTCATGGCTCGAGGATCTCGGTTTCCTGCTTGATAATGGCATAAAAGTCTCTTTGCTCTATGGTGATCTCGATTTTGCGTGCCCTGTAAGTTGCTCCGTCTTACCAAAAATATTGAATACAAACTCACTAACATTAACCACAAGTGGGCTGGAGGTGACGAAGTTGCCAAAGCCATCCCTTGGAAGGGCTCCGAAGGTTACACCACCGCTGAGTACGCCGAGATCCAAACCAATGACTCGTACGTCGGCGGCCTGGTGCGTCAATACGGAAACCTGAGCTACACCCGAATCTACCAAGCGGGTCACTCCATTCCCTCCTACCAGCCCGAAACCTCCTTCCGTATCTTCAGCCGTGCACTATTCAACCTTGATATCGCCACCGGAACGCAGTCAACCGCTGGTAGCGTGGAAGATGGAAGTGCGTACAAGAGTATTGGCCAGCCTACTCCGGAATCCAACCAGACGGCGGGTGACCAGGAACTGACATACTGCTACACATACTCTGCGAGCTCCTGCTATGATTGGCAAGTGGAAATGATCCAAGATGGAACGGCAGAGATTTGCAACTGGTTGTTTGTCGATACTAATACTACCGCCTTGTTCCCTGATGTGATAGCTAAATGTCACGCGGACTGGGCAGGAGGAAATAGCACAGGGAACGCTACACTCGGCCCGAACGTCCCTCTATCATCTGTTGGGGGCTCTGCTCCGTCCTTCAAATGATATAGTTGGGGATAGGTTAACCGCGTTAGGCATTTAGTTAGAGATATTAGTGAGCGCGTAGGGTAGGACGTTGAGCCATACATTCTCCTGTGTATGCGGACGTGTTCAAGTGTGTCCCAAATGAACATGACTTATATTTTTGAGAAACCTGACTTAGATGTCCTTGATATACATGTTCAACCAACTAATGAATTGGGTTAATCATGTGCAGTCCTACAGTTGCTCATACGTGTTTTAGCATTACACCACCCATCCAATAGTTGATTTTTTCCGTTGGTTTTTGGTAGTTTCGAAAATATGTTATCAGTATTTTACGTTTCATGGGACACATGGTATTCGATATCACCTTTATGAAATAGTCATTGGGAACTGTGAATATTGAGTCGCAATCTTGTTTGTTCTGCCAGACTTATAGACTCCAAATCCGACAGATGTAACGCAAAGATTTATTTGGTCAATACCTTGTAAAGGGACTCCTCGTAACTGGGCGGTTCTAGCTGCTTGTTTTGCTGTACTATATGAACAATATTTGCAAATTCACCGATCTTCGTTAATATTCATACCACCTGTGTAATCCGTGTGGTCATGTCGTACCTTCTGCTCGGTATATAAAGAGGGACAACCCCGAGCATGTGTCAATATAGATTTACGATCTACTTTTCTTTTTTCTTTTTTCTAACGGAAAACGGTCTCATTTCGCTTTCGCCCACAGAAATAACAACGAACTACCAAAATTACCTTGAATCACTACGCTGGAACAATGAATGCACAAGAACTGGTCCAACAAGAATTTCTAGAACGGCTGAAAATCTACTCCGATGGCTTGAGGGTTCACAAGGAGCGAAAAGGGGAACGTCCTACAGATCGAAAGTCAGCAGAAGAGTTGGAATGCGGCTTCTTGGAGAGGTATCTAACGCATGTAGATGCTGCCCGGGACAAGACGCTGGCATTCCCAGTGGTCGTTCCGATACCATACCCACCCTGCATCACACCTGTTGCGGAGCTAAAAAACGTCACCATGCGGGAATTGAGGCTGGAAACTCGGCATAAAGGCACTCGTCTGCTACTGAAAGCCATCACACAGTCTCACCGAATCGGTGGTATAGTGGCCGCTACTCAAGATACTCGCGGTGATGCTGCCGCAGTTGTCATGTATCATCAACAACCAGAAAATGTCCGTCGAGCTGTTGACATCCTTGGTAAGGGCTCGGTCATACTTGTTAAAGAACCGTACTTCGAGGTTGTGGGGCCTGGCCAATACAGAATTCGAGTAGATCATCTCTCTGATGTTGTATTCCTTGAGAAAAATGATCCTAGGGTGCCGAAGGCTTGGAGGTCCAAAGCACTCGGTTCAGAGAAAACGGCCGACGCATACAGGCTGAAGGGTAACGAAGCTGTCGAACAAAACAAATTTTGGGAGGCAATTACAGCGTAAGTTGCACACGCTACAAAAATCGGAAAGATATTAACTGTATACGATCAGATATTCAGCTGGACTCTCTCTCAAACCTACGGCAGACGAAACAGGGGCTCTATGTCGTAACCGGGCACTTGCATACCTCAGGACTAGACAGTATGATGCGGCGCTTTTGGATACCTGTTATCCAGATTTTCTTCCCCAGCCTTCATACAACGGCATGATTCGAGCCGCTGAGGCTCTATACCACCTCGGTCGGTTCGATGAATCTGCTAAGGTGATGCAAAAATTATGCAGCGAATTTCCCAATCACGAGCATGCACAGGGTCAACTCGAGCGTGTCCAAGCACGGCTCTCTGAGCAACAAACTGGAGTCTACGATTTCAGACAACTTCAAATAGATGCCACAAAGTTGAAGCCACCAACTCTGGATCGTGCTACCTACATCGGACCTGTCGAAGTTAGGGATGCCCCGGGAAAGGGACGTGGTTTGTTCGTGACTAAAGCTGTCAAGGCGGGCGACCTGCTACTGTGCGAAAAGGCTTTTGGCTATGTTCACGCACCCGAGGATAAGTACGCGAGGGCGCCTACCATAATGGTACATATGGAGACAGACCGAGCAATCATGAATGAACAAGTGGATTTGTTGCAAGCCCTTATCCGGAAGCTTTATCACAATCCATCCCTTATTCCTACCTTCACCTCCCTGTGTCATGGAGGTTACGAGGGACAAACTACTTTCGAAGTAGACGGAGCTCCTGCAGTGGACACATTCCTCGTCGAACGGATCATGACTTTGAACGTCTTTGGTTATTGGCGCACGACCAGCCTCGCTGATCATATCGACTTTGTATCCCCAAATACAAAGCGAGAACAAGACCACTCGTGCGGAGTCTGGACCACAGCATCGTACATCAACCATAGCTGCATGAACAACGTGGAACGCGCATTTATTGGCGACATGATGATTGTCCGCGCGACAAAGGATCTAGACGCAGACACCGAGCTCGGTTTCTGGTACAAAGACCCCTTCCGCTCAAATTTCGCACAACGGCAAGCCGACCATGAGGAATGGGGATTCGTGTGCTACTGCAGTCTGTGTGAAGACGCCAGAGCAACTGAAACTTCCACCATCGACAAGAGGAAGGAGCTGTGGCTAGAAGCCGAGGAACTCTGTGGCCGGATTCCTCCCACACCGGCATACGAGATAGAGCAAATTGCCAAAGCTTTGGATGACACATACACACAACCCGCAAGCAAAGTCCCGCGTGTCGAACTTCGGGATCTGCTGCTAGTAATCGCTCGCTTATACGTAATCAGCAAAGAGCCATCCAAGGTCCTAGAATATGTGGGAAAGATGTTAACTTCTCTCGGCTTCATCATACATGGCGCGGACACTTCATCTACTCGGTTTGCTGTTGAGCAATGGGGCATGGTAGCAGAACCCTTCGTAGAAGCTTTCCTACATGCGCGTAAGGCTTTCGAGGTTTTGGGAAGGCCGGAAGATGCCGAGAAAGCAAAGGAGTACGCAAAGTTAGTATTCAAGATGGTGATTGGTGAGGATGACTCTTTTGAGGCGGTTCACGGGGATCATGACACGAGGTTTGGTTGGGTATGTTAGTCTACAGCGCGAGGAATTTTCTGGGTCTTATGTGAATATCTTATGTCATTTGCTGTCATGCAAACCAGGAGAAGAGATTGATTGGGCTGTGATTTGATTTGAACATAAGACACAAGTTGGAACCTGGGAACTGGAAAAGCCTTAGCACGGACCTATGGAGAAAAATGCAAAAAGGAATAACAATTTAACTATGGCAAAACACATTTCCTTTTGAATATAAACTTTTGCGTTGTGGTGTCTCTAAGCGTGAGGGATTGGTGTACGTCTGACTTTGCTTTACTGGTAAATAGGTAGGAGACGCACCCAATCCCAAACATCAATCACGAAAGCCAAGTGATAACATATTTAAGGTAAATTCTTCAAGGACAATGACCTCTCACGTAGAAATAAGTGAACAATACAGGGTGGCCGACTGTGGTGGCCTCGCAGCCACTCGTATGCCCCTATCGCAAAGGAAGTTTGGTGAGCAGGAAGGCAGGCAGGTAGAGGTTCTGAACAGGTTACCAAATGAAATTTTCCGCGTTTTCATCGAGGTTTCTGGCGTATGAGAGTCAATTCAACTGCTAACCTAGTTAAGCGACTGTTGGGAGGTGTCGTGGCCAGCCCCACTTTCATCACCCCCTAGTTGGGATAAAAGTTCAGAGAACTTTTGTAGCCGTATATATATTACTTTACAAACGATTTTCACATCAAAAAACCGACGGGGAATTGGCGCAATGGTAGCGCGTTGGTTTTCGGCTATCCAAAAGTCATACACCAAAGGTTGTGGGTTCGATCCCCATGTTCCTCGTTTTTTGCATATTTCTTCTTTTTAGTTTCGAAGTTTGAGAAGACGCCATCTTTTTTGCGGATGCTGTGGGTCATGTGATGCACTCCTCATATGCGCTAAACGATATCTGGATTATCTGTATCCTAATCCAATCAGGAGTGCTGAAGTTACAACTATGAAACCGTACGTACATACAAACGTCAATCAACACTAGGACGCAGATATTCTTTTGGTGAACAACGCGTCTCTCGAACTCAAATCGTGTTTTCAAAATCTCCCAGCTTCTTGTTTGACCTCGTGCCTGAGAATGCTATCTCACTCTATCTCTCGACTCGCTGCCAAGGTTAGATGGATGACGTAGGCCCAGTACGGCAGAAGAAGTCCTGGCAAAGCGCATCTGCAATTCAAGGAATCGCAAGCATGTAACAGATCTGGGATAATACATAGATGAATCTGGTATATAAAATCCTTGTACCCGGCTGACGGTACTCGCGGATTCCCAATCCAATAAGAAAAGAGAAGGAGGAGTATATAGTATCCATGAACAAGACCTCATCTACACCATTCAAGTTCAAACGAAATGTCGCAACATCACAAACAACACCCCAGGAGGTACCTCCACGCTCTAGCCCTCCTCACAGCCCTTACCCCTCAAACCACCGCCCAGGAAAACCATAACTCCAAACGCGGTCTCGCATACGTTGGAAATACCCACGGCACCGACAACGCCCTTCTAACTAGTACCAAATCGCCGATCTCCTGGTACTACAACTGGTCGCCATACCCACCTTCACAAGTTCCTTCTCAAAACCTCGAATTCGTGCCGCTGATCCACGGCGTGGATGGCGCGAGTGATCCACAGACTGCGAGGCAGATAGACTCATTGCCACAGTCGAGCACGCATTTGCTTTCTTTTAATGAACCGGATGGCACGACGGGAAGTGGCGGCAGCGCGATTGAGCCGGACGATGCGGCGAAAGCGTATATTGAGCATATTGTCCCATTGAGAGAACGGGGGAGGAAGTGGAAGATTTCGCATCCGAGTACGACTGGGTAAGTGGTTGTTCTCCCATTATGAAGATTTTTCTCGTTATATTATACGCAAAGGTTTTAGTGGAAATTGGTTAAGAATATTTTCTTACCCACCTGCAGCTCGGGAAACGGCCTAGACTGGCTCCGCAAATTCAACGAATCCTGCTACAAAATCGACAAGCAAAACGGGTGTCCAACAGACTTCATCGCCGCGCATTGGTACGGCAACTTCGAAGGGCTCGCCGGCTGGCTCGGCACCCTCAACGAATACTACAACACGAACACCTCGCGGAACCCGCCGCTCAAAATCTGGATCACGGAGCTGGCGCTGCCGCAGCTCGATGCCGATGCCAACGCCCAGATGATGAACCAGACGCTTCCGTATCTGGATAGCCAGGACTATGTGGAGAAGTATTCGTGGTTTGGGGCTTTTCGCCCGCAGGATGCGAATGGGTGGACGGGGGACGGGGTGGCGTTGTTTGATGGCGATGGAGGGTTGACGAAGGTTGGGGCTTTGTATATGGGTGGGGAGAATAGGGGGTTTAAGGAAGGGCAGCGGGGTGAGGAGGGTGGTGACGGTGTGCAAGATGGTGCAAGGCATATGAGTATAAGTTGGGGTTTGTTGTTATCGTTGACATTTGCAGCTGGTATATTTAGCACGTTATGATGAAAAAATGAGTTGTTACAGGGCATTAGCGTTAGAAGTGATTCCTCGATTTTTGTGTTTGGAAAAAGGCCTCATATTTTACGACCAGACACCGAGAAAATGAAGTCCCAATTCATACCGGGACATACATGAAGGTGGAAAAAGCCCGATGATCATTTCGCTCATTGACTCCAGACCGTACCCATGCCCTCTCCGTTTTATCTTCCCCAACTCAACTCAAGACCCCTCTTCCATGCTTTCCCTCTATGCGGCGGTGATGGCCTTGCGGGTCTGGCGGCCACGCTGCCTGCTGTTCAATCGGGCGCCGACGGAGTCGTCAGCCTTTGCGACGGTCTCGGGGGCCTCGGTGAGGATCAACTCGATGTGGCAAGGGTTCGACATGTAGGGGTTGATCTGGAGATATCGTTAGAAGAGGTTTTTGCGTGCAAGTAGATTCAACATACGCGACCGTGGGCACGGTATGTGCGCCTTCGCTGCTTGGGAGCCTGGTTGACCTGGATGTGCTTGACGATCAAGTTGCTGGTGTCGAGACCCTTGGTGTCGGCGTTGGCCTCAGCGTTCTTGAGGAGACCGAGGAGGAACTCGGCGGACTTGACGGGCCAGCGGGCCTTGGAGACACCGAAAGCCTTGCCTGTAGTTTTTCGTCAACATTTGACCTTGAAAATTGCCCTGCACTCCGATCTCCATATCACAGCATCGCAATTCAATACTCCAAACGCCACTACTGCCTCCTCATGCCTGTGATTCTCGCCCGTTTCCCCTCTCAAAAAGAACTGCACTCACCCTGTGCGGTTCGGCCAGTGCTGCCAGCGTACCGCCTCATGGGGACGGCCTCCTTGTGCTCCAAGACATTGCCGAGGTAGGTAAGGGCGCGCTCAAGCTTCCATCCGTTGATGGCCTGGGCAGTCTCGCGGGTGTTCTTGAAGGAGGTGCGGAGGTAGCTGCCGCGAGCCCTCGCGGACTTCTCGTTGGGGATCTGAGCAGCGTAGCGGACCTGGCATGCCGATTAGCTTGTGTCGCAATTTTCCGAAGAGCACATTGCGAGTAGAATGAGTGCAACATGTGTATGGGAGGGCAACATACCATCGTGGAGTGCGGCGTGAATCCTGTGTTGTTAGTTGAGGTCGTTCAGAGGTTGCTGCACCCGATGCAAAATCGACCGTCGTTGTGGGCTCGGCACGCGCTAGCCCAATCGGTTTTTACTCGCCAAGATTTCCTCGGAAAAACTCTGGGCCCGGCGCGGGCGGCCAATTACCAGCTCCTACGCTAGCTGCCGCACAATTTTTCGAAGCTCATCTTTCGCGACTGCGACAAGCTCTCCTCTCAAGGCAATTCGCACCACAACACCGCAAACTCTTCACTTTCTACTCACAATCGCCTCATAATCATTCAATGGCATTCACTCCAAGAGGTCGTGGCGGCGGCAGGGGAGGTTTCGGCGGTGGTGACCGTGGAGGCCGTGGCGGTGCCCGTGGTGGACGAGGCGGTGGTCGCGGCGGTGGATTTGGCGATCGTGGAGGACGCGGCGGTGGTCGCGGTGGAGGTCGTGGAGCACCCAGGGGCGGCCGAGGAGGTGCCCGTGGTGGACGTGGAGGTGCTGCTGGCGCCAAAGGCGGAGCGTAAGATTTTCAACAGCTAGATTTGTCCATGAACTGGAGCTAAACCTCTCAACAGCAAAGTGATCGTTGAGCCTCACCGTCACGCCGGTGTCTTTGTTGGTCGTGGAAAGGAGGATCTGCTACTCACCAAGAACATCACCCCCGGAGAGAGCGTCTATGGCGAGAAGCGCATCAGCGTTGGCAGCGACAAGACCAGCGACGATGCTCCCGCCACCACAGTCGAATACCGTGTATGGAATCCCTTCCGAAGCAAGCTTGCTGCCGCTATCTTGGGTGGTGTGGACGACATCTATATCCGACCGGGAGCCAAAGTGCTGTACCTCGGTGCTGCTTCCGGCACCAGTGTTTCCCACGTAGCAGACATTGTAGGCCCCGAAGGCACCGTCTACGCTGTGGAGTTCTCCCACCGATCTGGCCGTGATCTGATCAACATGGCAACGCACCGCACCAACGTCATCCCCATCGTCGAAGACGCCCGTCACCCTCTCAAGTACCGCATGCTGTTGCCCATGGTGGATGCCATCTTTGCCGATGTTGCCCAGCCCGGTATGTCCAATCAAGAAAGAAAATGCAGTGAAACATCTACTAACTTTCCCCAGATCAAGCACGTATCGTCGGTCTCAACGCCAGCCTCTTCCTCAAGGTTGGCGGTGGTGTGCTCATCTCCATCAAGGCCAACTGTATCGACAGTACCGCAAAGCCCGAGGTTGTATTCGCACAAGAAGTCCAGAAGATGAGGGAGATGGGTCTCAAGCCCAAGGAGCAGCTTACTCTTGAACCCTTCGAGCGTGACCATGCCATTGTCGCTGCCATCTACCAAAGGCCGGAGTAGTAGAAGCCATGGTGTATCAGCAAGGAGCGGTATGTTTTCATGTTTGACGAGATGGATGGACATGTGTGTGTATAACCTCAGTCTCGGCGCGAAGGGCGGCGTTACAGGCGCTAGGGGCACTCGGATATTGATCGTTGTTTCAATGCATCACCTTTGGGGCATTAAAAATTTGAATTCATCATTTTCTAATCGCGTATGCTTGTACATGCTTTTGCCTCTTGACCCTCATCTCTTTCCCTTCAATGCGCACCATCGAACCCGCTCAGAAAATCGCACCGGTACGAAGTAGCCTTATCACCAAACCCATACCTCGCCAAGTTCATCACTCCCGGGAATGTAAATGGAAACGCATTCCCCTTGCAATCATCCTTCGCGAACATGGAGCAGAACGTGCCTTGGTCTGGTCCGCCTGAGCTAATCTTGCTCTTGTAGCCGTCAGGAACGTTATCTAGGACCGAGAAGACGGGCCAGTCAGTCGCAGTGTATAGCTAGTATGAGACCACGCCTGGGATTTGAAGCTACTCACAGCATTTTCCAGGCTCCGCTTCAACGTTCTCGCATTGCCCCTTGAACGACTCGTCGGTGCAGAGATAGATGTGTGTTTTTGCGGGGCCATCTCTATGTGGTTTTAGCTGTGTTCTCTAGATGGCGGGCATAGGATGCGTGCGTACTGTGGAATGGGCTTCGCTGATGCGGAGGCAATGTACGCAATGATCAGGCAGGCTGAGAGATACATGACTGCGGTTGCAGAAGCAATGAGTTGTCTACGATCAAGTTTAGTTGTCTTCGTACATACATATATGTATGTAGGTATATTGGATCCCTTGTTTGATCTTTGCATTCTTCACGTCAATGTCACGTTCTTTACCCC